TCATATGGGTACCATTTAAGGGATTTTTGTTGTTGCTGTTCCTAGTTTGTCTGATTGTTTTACATTTACACCTGATAACAACACTCTAGTCTTGCAACATGCTTTACAGCAACAAAAACTGAGGTTTAAGCTTCTATCGTATATGCTTACTATGAGCTTGCACCTGTGATAAAGTATATTGCAGTTGCTCTGAAGTCATTAAACTTTAGCTGGCACTTGCACATCACTATAGGTTTAGCTTTTGATGTTTTAGTTATTTATAACTCTAGAAAAACAATAAAATAATAATCCTTTATTGGAGATATTCCACATAAACCACCATCTGCAGAATAAGTCGTTAGGAGAGATGCAATCAATTACACCCTGTGAATTATATTGACATAGACCCTTCGAGAACTATGTGTTTTTTTAAAACCTAATTTAGCTTTACATATGGTCAATGAAAATTTGATATAGCAGAGTACTTACCAGCAGATGTTTGTCTATGAATATTTCATGTTACTTAATAATACTACTTACCAGTCACAGTTGACAGTACAGTGCATCCTAGAGCTTGAGGTGCCTTAGACAAATAGGTATGACCTATTACTTCATTTTGGAAATTTCCTTCTGGAGATCAGAAAAAAGTCTGAACGTCATATTTGCAGCTAGACAGGAAATAATTGATTTGCTCAAATTCTGCAGAGATCACACCAAAATCTGTGTCCTCTCTTAGGTCAAATCTTATCCTGACCCAGAGGAAAATAACTGTAAATTCGGGAGTTTCCCATATGATATAAACTTTCTTGTCTTCCCCTTAGGGATGATCTATCCTCATAGATAGAGGATAGAGGTTGTGTGCTATTAGATCACTTACTCCACAAATCTCATCCTGAGCAGAGGCAGGTACATTAAGTCCTGTCTACCAATTAGCCAGAATATTAGAGTTTATGTCATTTTTAGAATTTCAAGTTGGCTGTGGAAGAACTGATGAATCTTGATCCAACATGAATTAACCTTTGAACAAATCTGAGCTGGCAGAATTGGTTTGTATTGGATTGGCACCTTGCAACACATGAATGCAGGGTTTTGGTGCAATACAAGGAGACACAAAGCCCCTTTCCTGTACCACCAAATCATGGTCTTGGATGGTTTTTAGTTCTAATGCAATACATAGAAATATTTTAGTTTGGGTGTTACCTAGTTGGTGAATAACTTCATAACTTCATAACTATGAATTCATATTCATAACTATGAATAACTTCATAACCAAAATGTTGTGTACATATAAATTGCTATATATGTTGACACTTTCTTTGAATGCCTTTGGATGCTTTGAATGTCTGGAATAGTCAGACATTAGTTTTTGACAAGTGCCAAAATTTTTTCCTTAAGGCCCCATGCAATTCATGCTCAGAGTCGTCATTTAGGTGGGTAATCACAGAATCACAGAATGTTTGAGGCTGGGAGGGACCTCTAGAGATCATCTCTAGATCTAACCACCCTTCTCAAGCAGGGACACGTAGAGCATGTGGCACAGGGTCGCAGCCAGGTGGGTTTTGAATATCTCCAGAGAAGGAGACTCCATAACCTCTCTGGGAAGCCTGTTCCAGTGCTCTGTCACCCTAACAATCAAGAAGTTATTTCTCCCTTTGTGCTATCGTTGGCCACCACAGAGAAGAGTTTGGCCTCATATTCCTTATGTCCTCCCCTCAAGTATTTATACATATTGATAAGATCCCCTCTCAACCTTTCCTTCTCCAGACTAAACAGGCCCAGCTCGCTTAGTCTTTCCTCATAAGATAGATGCTGCAGTCCCTTAATCATCTTTGTCACTCTACACTGGACCCTCTCTAGAAGTCCCACATCCCTCTTGTACTGGGGAGTCCAGAACTGCCCCCAGTACTCCAGCTGTGGCCTCACCAGAGCTGAGTAGAGGGGCAGGATCCCCTTCCTCGACCTGCTGGCAATGCTCCTCCTGATGCAGCCAGGATCCCATTGGCCTTCTTGGCCACGAGGGCACATTGCTGCCTCATGGTTAACTTGTTGTCAACCAGGACTCCCAAATCCGTCTCCACGGAGCTGCTTTCCAGCAGGTCAACCCCTAATCTTCATTGGTGCCTGGGATTATTCCTCCCCAGCTGCAGGACCCTACACTTGCCTTTGGTGAACCTCATGGGATTCCTCTCTGCCCAACTCTCCATCCTGTCTAGGTCTCTCCAGATCGCAGCACAGCCCTCGGGAGTGTCAGCCACTCCACCCAGTTTGGTGTCATTTGCAAACTTGCTGAGGGTACACTCCGTTCCCTCGTCCAAGTCATTGATGAACAAGTCAAACACCACTGGGCCCAGTGCTGACCCCTGGGGGACACCGCTGGCGACAGGCCTCCATTTAGACTCTGCACCACCGATCACAACACTCTGAGCTCTACCATCCAGCCAGGTCTCAATCCACCTCACTGTCCACTCATCTAACCCACACTTCCTGAACTCCCCATGAGAATATTGTGGGAGACTGTGTGAAAAGCCTTGCTGTAGGCAACATCTACCGCTCTCCCCTCATCCATCCATCCAGTCATCCCATCATAGAGGGCTATCAGGTTCATCAGACGTGACTTCCCTTTGGTGAATCCATGAAAATGTTAACAGAACATTTGTCAGATTGAGGACTTTGCTTAGTTCAACATATAACACCATCCCCAGGAAAACAAACTGATTACAGTAGGCACTAATACATGAGAAAATCAAAAGGGATATTTGATGCAACTTTAGATGTAAAGGACTTTCCAAGTGACAAGTATTAATTTTAATATGAATTATGATGGGGATATGATATTGCCTCCTACTTTTCCTTTTTCTGTTATCCTTTGCCATCCACTGGATAATATTTCTTAAAAGTGCTTGATTTTTAGCATCTATTACTAATAGTATCCTAACATCTTTAGTTTTTTATAAACCTCATAGCTAGGTAAATGTATGAGATCCTTTTCCTACTCTTCACTTTGTCTAGTTATGTAGTTATGCAAGAAAATTCTTTAACATCTTCCTGTCCTGTGATTCAATTGAGGAGAGTTTCTGACATGATCTGACAATTCTGACAAATTTTAGCACCTGTTCACAGAATGGAAATTAAACACTTTAAAGTTCAATGTGTTTGGGCTTTTTTGTTGTTGTTGTTTTTGTTTGTTTGCTTGTTTGTTTTTCCAAAATTCAGATGATCTTATTAACACTCATAAGTAGAAAATGACAAACTGGCTCTTCTTCATATCTTTGTAAATTTTTTTACTTGAATTTCCACTTCCAAACTAAAAACCGACTGTTAATTAAGCAGGATTTTCTGAGCACCTGGGTCACCAACACAATGATAGTAATTAAATTCTAGCCTCAGTTCCAATACACATAATAATAGAGTGCTTTTGCATTTTCATTCTTTTCAAATTAATTGAATAAATATATACAGCATAATTTAAGCCTTGATGTACCCGCCCTTTGCTCCAAGCAGGTGTTAATATGTGGAAATTATCACATCTCCTATTAAAACTTGAATGGGTCACGAATGGGTCAGTTCATCCCAGTAGACTTGAGGAAACTTTTTTTTTTTAAGAAAGCAACATTTAAGACTTAATTTAAGAATAAAGTATTTATTTGTAAGGTTTTAGAAAATAATTAAGCAGCCCTGATAGTTGCAAAGGAAGTCTTCCAGCCTTCCAGACCAGCAAAATATGGTGGCCTTCCTGAATCTGAAAGTAGTTTGAAACAGTGGTAGAAATAGACAGGAAAAAAAAAAAGGAATTAAAAAAAAAGGTGCTCCTGTTCAACCGAATGTGGTTAACTTTCAGATCAAGAGATGGAAGATATAAAATGACTTAATAGTCATCTAGACCATTTTAGGGGAAGGGATAGGTTTTTATATATAATAAGAAAGATCCTCTGCACCAGTGACTAGCAGGGAGAAGGAAAGCAATAATCTAGCGACTCACCAGGTGCTGTGTAATGGCACTTCTGCAATCTTGGGGAAAGAATTTCTGTAAGCTGCAGAATGCAGAGATCGTAACTCAAGAATGTTGTCATAAACTCAAAGGGTTTTTCAGCTTGAATTCATAGGTTGACATAGCTGATTGCTCAGGTGCACATTTCAGGCATTTGTAGAAATTTGGGGTATCTTGGTGGTCTTGCAATTACCTGTTCAGTGATCAAGACTGCTTATATCTTGACCAAATCATTTTTCAGCAAGTCAGTGATGTGAAAGGACAACATTGCTTGTAACTGATGTAAAGAGAAAGAAAAGAGGGCTACGAGAAAATGTTCTGATTCAGGATAAATAGGTAGCTACAAATTCAGGGAGCTCAGTTGTCCTAGTTTATAACAAGATCTGACTTCAGAATTAATTCATTTTGTATTGAACGAGGGAAGCCCATTTCACATCTCTTCTTCATTCCATACACACTAAAATGCAAGCGTTCATTTGCACTCACATGAACACACATGAACATATATATAGGGGCACAGGGCAGGCTGACCTACTGCAGGTAAACCTGAGAGAAGCACCAACAGAACCAACAGCAGTTTCTTGACATAGCATTTAAATACCTTCAGATACCTTCCCTTCAAAGCAGAGCTTGCTTGTCCTCCATATTTTCTTTTTTTTCAGCCCACTCATTTATATGCAGCTGCCACCAAAGAATGTACGTCAGGTTTAAGCCTTTAGTATTATCTCTCTGGTCACGCACTTATAGCCACACACAGAGGCACATGGGCACATCAAGTTATAGCAAACATCAGTGGGAAGCTGCTGAATGCATGTTCTTTGGTACATAGTTTATAAGTTGTGGAGACAGACTTGAAGGGAGACATCTCCAACATTGATAAAATGTAAGTACAAAAGACACATCATTGGATGGATATTGATGATGTTGTTTCAGTAATGACATCATCCATAGACTCCTAGTGTCTTTGCTTTGCTTCTCTATAGTGATCACAACATAAATTGCTTGTCTTGTTTGACTTCCTTGTTCACCAAAGTTGAGCAGATTGTGGCCGTTTTCAACGCTTCTACCAGACAAAAAGCTTGGGACCATTTCTCGAAAGCCCAGCGAAAGAACATAGACATTTGGCGAAAGCATTCTGAGGTTGGTGATTTTATTATTACTTTCTATCCATCATCTCACAGCTGGATTGACACAGAACGAGTGTGATTGTAGCTGGACATAGTGCATTCAGCAATATTTATGGCTACAGTTTTAGCTGTTAATCAACTAGCCATTATACAATCTCATCTGCCATGTGAATTGCTCCCATTGCTCTCATTACAATAATAGTCATTAAATAACACTAAGATAGAGAGCAATGTGTTTTTATTTTCCATGGAAGAATTGGGAAAACACTGGAGGAATATGTTTACTATCTAACATAATGAATTAAAGTGATGAAATTAGTTACAATATTTTAAATTAAGGATAGAATTAAGTCTTTCAAATATGAAAAATAAGTTTTTAGGAGTCATCATAATCTGGTTTTAAAGATTCTCACCTGTAACACAGATTATTTTTTCTGGTTGTACCATTACATGATCATTATAAGATGACTTTGCTTGGAAAGAAAAAAGATATTTCTTTCATAAAATAATAAATTAAGCAAATCTGTCCAGAATTATGGTGTACTCCTTCCCGCTTGTTTTATGTCATTCTCTAAAAAGCAGATCAATCACTTATATGGATTCTAAGTATATCGCTTACGCACAAAATAGTATAAATGCAATCATAATACAACATAAAATTAGCAATGTGGGTTCATGAATGTGTGACTGTCATAAGCATGAGCAGAGGAAATGAGTTTCTACCTCTCCTTGCTGTGAGTGGCAGCAAAGGAAGTGATTGTCCCCATCTTGTGTTTTGGTCATCCAGCTTTCGTTTTTAATTCAGTATTTACGCTATGAGCCTGTATTTTAAAAAGTAAGTACCACTGTCTTTGTTTTCTTTCTTTCGTCTTGCTTTTTTATTATTTTTTAATATGGGCAATTTACATTCACCTGGCTTACCTTCAGGTAGTACAGTATGTTGATTTGTAGTATCATAGTCCTCTAAATGATTTCTCTCTGACTCAGAATAAAAACTTTAGAAGGTAAGGTGCACTTATTTAATTATTTTGTAGTACACTTGTAAAATAAGTGTTGTACACTTAGTTTGAGAAAAAAACGAAAGCACTGTGATGTAAATCATTTGGATAACATTTTAAGTGCCCATTAACTAATGCTAAATTACAGTTGAATACCAATGGCACTAACTGTAACATCCAGATGAATACCAAATGAATTCTTTATTATCACTGCTATTATGGTGAATACCAAATGACTTCACAATAATGGGACACTTAAAATAAAATGTTAGCATAATTTATTGGTACAAACTGTACTTTGCATTTTGTTCACAAATATCAAAAAAGTGGGTAAATTCTTGTTTAACAGAAAATTGGGAAGTTGGGGGTTGCTGTTTATCCTATCTTTCAGAAAGGTATGAAAACATGACTTGCTCGTAGTTTATTTCAATTATATTAAAAACATTCCTTCTTAAACTAACTTTTTGTGGAGGGATGTTGAATATCACTCATTTGCTTCCTTCTAAATCTTTAATAAAGGGAAACGTGCATGAGTTGGACTTTCCAGAAATGTTAATTCACTGCTTGCTCTTTCAAACATTATTGCCTTTTCTTTTTCTATGAAAAGGACACGAAAAGCAATTCAGAAATATATGAAACCTCTAGCTGAGTGTTTCAGAAAGGCCTGTTTTCCAGATGTGCAATACAATTGATAGGTACCAAATGATGTCTTTGATTACAATCTTATCATCTCACCATGACATTAGCTGCTAATTTGTTTAATTTGTTAGTTTATCACCTTCCCTTCCTGCTTTAGAAAAGCTTTGCTAGAAAGCCAACCACAAAACAAGCCCTCGTACACAAAGCTCTTCCTTATGAAAGATTGTCAGCTTTTCTGATAATGTAGAAATGGATGCACCAAAGACATTTATCTGCTAAAAAAGGAATAAACGTAAGTGGATAGCTGCTCACGTATGCAGCCTGCATTTCCCAGGAAAAAAGTGCAGGTGGCCTTTTACAATAAGGAATTAAGAAGTGGTTTGCTGATTTCTTCCAGAGAGGCCTCTTATTGTCTGGTTGACAATTTGCCATTTCAATCACTTTTTCTTTTTTTTTCCTTTTTTTTTTCTTTCTTTTTAATTTGAAATTATCCCCATACAAAATGCCTGCTAATTAGCCTCCTGGATACGTACACATTTATTAGAGCATCTGAGATCTGATGAAGCGATGGTGCAGCTCAAGGGAAACGCCTTCCCCTTTTTTCCTCCCCGCAGCCCCTCTGTGATGGTTCCTTGTTAATTGCATGGAGCAATAGTTGGACTCTTCAAGCCCTTCCCTCCTTCCATGCGCCTCTTCCTTGTTTCGAGGATTGCAAACCTCCTCTTTGGGAATTAGGCTCTTTGTCCACAAAAAAATTAGCTGTCTGCGGACTCAAAAGACCGACACTAATCACGGCGCAGCATCCCCGTGTAACACCTGACAGGATTATTAGAACAAAATAGGATTCTCTCCATCTTCTCCGTGCCGCCGTTAAAAAGCCAGCCATTAGTCCAGCATCAGCCTTTTTCACCGGGAACAAAGACCGTCTAGACTCCCACAAAGTCCCCACGCCTGCTGATCTTTACCTCGTTACATATGTACAGGCTTCCTGCCTGCCCTCCCCGGGCTCCCAGAAACAGGTCTTTTAGCACTCGGGTTTGTTTCAGATCATGATGGAGAAATTTCCTGGGCAGTGTTGTTGGGCTGAGGCTTTTCAGTTTGAGGAAATCTGTGGATGGGAACAGTGCATTAGGTGCTTTTTTGCCTAGCATTAGGCACCTAAAATATAGCATGCTCCATCTAAGCTAGCTGCTGTAGGCTGCCTTTACAGGCAGCAGAGAGAAATAGGCACTTTTAGGGCACAGTTAATCTGACATAGTTTGAATTTCAACCCCAAGGATGTGAAAAAAAGTGCTTATTTCTCTACATTTCTATGAAAAATGTGTATGGGAACTAGTTTTTAGTGGCCACACTGAATGCTAGCCCAAGTGACAGAGGCTTGAATTTTTTATACCTTAAGCAGCTTGTCAATCCCTTTATTGACCTGATTTATACACAATTTTAAGCATGATCCCTGCTGTTATTCCTGTTCTTCTATATTTAGAAGCAAAAATCATTTCATATGGAGGCTCACTTTCTCTCTTTCTTTTCCTGACTGTTGCTCTCTATAAAGTCAGTTCTTTCACATGAAGAATTCAGTTACCTTCAGCCTGAGTCGTATTCAAACTCTGAAAAGTGTTACATTAATCTTGCCCCATGCTACTGTTATTCTGAACAGGTTTATATATAGTTATGTGTGATTACAGTGATAAATGTTCTCTAATTAAAAATCAGAGGATTTTAAAAACAATTACTAAAGATAAAGCAATTACTTTGTGGAAATCACTACTGACAGAGGGTCATTTTGGGTTTTAGGAGCTCAGAAATGCGCACAGTGAACAGCTCATGGGAATCCGCCGGGAAGAAGAGATGGAAATGTCTGATGATGACAGTGGTGACAACCCCACTAAAAAACTGAGAGCAGATGATTCAGGTAAAGCAAAATTCCTCTACAGTATCCTCAAATATGTGCCTTTTTTACCTTATTTTGAGCGTCATATAGAAGTATATATAGGAGGGGAATGAGATATTAATAGAAAATGATTATGTAAACCTAACCTATTTTAAATATTCATAAATTAGCTATTTGAATGATGCAAGCTGTCTCTAGGAGGTTTCTCTCACCTACTAAGTTGTATAATGATGAGAACTGTCCAGTTCTGCCCATGGCTGGACCAACTGTGGTTTTTTATCACTGTCTCTGCTATTTGACATAATAGTGTTTTATTGGTTGTAACAGTGGTTATAACAATGTCCTATTCAGAGGCTGATTGAAATTCTCCTTTAGTCAGTATTTTCCATGCCTTACTTTTCTGTTCTGCAAGTACCATACAACGTATAAGCTCACTAAGAAATATGTGCTACCATTTTAATTGTTTCTTTTGTAGAATCAACTTTCAAGGGTACATATTTCACCATATAGTACTGTATACTGTATTAATTTTACACTCATTAGATGCTTGTCGTGAAAGAAAGAACAAAGTTGCTTGCTCTGTCTGGAAAGAAAAGCAATTTCTTCAGTTTTCTACAAATATTCTGCTATCCAGGCAGGCTGGACACCCCAGGAGATGGCTGAATTACTGATTGGTAAAAAGATCTGGATCCTTCGTTTGATTTCTTAACATTGGTTAATAAATTTGTAGGTGGATAACAAGAGTTTACCTTTAGATAAAGAATGATAAGGGTTTAGATACTCATCCTCAGCAAAAAAGCTTACAGCAGCTAAAGCCAAGGCACAAGTGAAAACTGCCAGTCACCAGTGAGCTTCATATATGGTGAAGATGAAGAAGGTGACATTGAGAGAAACTGAGAGGACAGGTTTTTATCTAGCCTTTTGCATACTAGCACCATATTAGGAAATGAGCATACTGAAGACATTCAAGTTTTCTATGTTGACACAAAAGTGTAGTAGATTTTTACTGACTTGTAGAGTGCTTTTGGCCCCTCCTGTGACAAGTTGTTCTGTGAGTTTGGATGATTCTAGAAGCAAAGACTTCATTGCTGTCATTCCAGCAAGAAATCTTTAGCAGGGCATTTCCTCTGAGGGCAGAATTAATGCCTTTACTGGAGGTAAAATGTAACAATAAAACCTGTGAAGAGCAGTTTAAATTTTTGTTTGGCTAATTGGGTGGGCTTGAATTTTCTAGTCATCATTAGCTGAATGCTTGGAACTAAGAAAGGGGTATCTGCAGGCAAAGCATTCCTAACAGTCACAGACTTCCATGAATGTTAATCGTTTTTGCCTTGGCTGTGCCTAGTCTTATGGAGAGAAGTCATTAGGATTAACAATAGGAAGGTAAAGCCAGAAATTCCCATAAACTTCACTTCAGAAATTGAGTAGCGGTGTTTTGAACTGTCATATTCAATTCCCAATTCCCAAACCAATTGAGCTATGTTTAACAAATGCATGCTTAGGGCTGAGATGTGCAGATCATTCATTTGGCCTCAGATTAGTAACATTACAGATAGGAAAACATATTTGGTTTTCTTCCCTAAATAGGAAACATTTCTGTCAATTGCTGTGGTATCTGAGATTTCTACAGCATTCTATCCCAACCTACTTCAGTAGTTGCACTGTTATACATAATAATATGAGCACGTGAATCCCCACAGTGTTAACAGTATCAAACCCAAGTTACTCAGCCCACTGCACAGGTAGAGTCACACAGTTTCAAAATTATTTTTTATCACCTTCTTCTTCCAATGTTATGCTCTTAACTAAAATGTGTGGATTTGATTCTTCTGTCATTGACACTGAAGGCAACTTAGAGATATTTTGAGTTAAACCAAAGAAATTACTGGGTATAAAACATGAGTATGTGAAAAGAAAATGCGTGAGTGGGATTTTTTTTTTTTTCATTTTAGGAGCAGAAGAGAGATTCTTCCTAGATTCTTCCTTTCTCATCTTAACGTTTTTTAAAAAATTATTCTTTCCGTTGGGCCTACTTTATATGTATCCATATTTAACCATCTCTCTATTCTTTCCGTTGGGCCTACTTTATATAAGGATCTCTTTATTGTACTAGATTGGTTCAGATTGGTTCCTTCTATCCCCATCATTTCAGAACACAATGAACCACACCTAAGGCTAAAAGTTGTGCCAGGGCCTTGGTGCCTGAGTGATAATCCAGAATTGTACTTCAGTCCTTAGAGCAATATCCAGGGAAACAATATAGTCAGCTGAGGACATTGTCCACAGTGAATTTCGCGGAATCACAGAATCACATAGAATGGTTGAGGTTGGAAGGGACCTCCAGAGATCATCTAGTTCAACCCCCCTGCTCAAGCAGGGTCACTTAGACACAAGTGGCACAGGGTGGCATCCAGGCAGGTTTTGAGCATCTCCAAGGTAGGATGCCAACAATCTGGGCAGCCTATTCCAGTGCTCTGCCCCCAGCATCCCACCCAGCTTGAACAGCCCTTGCCACACATTTCAAACAGGACACCTAGGAGCCAGCTGCAAATTAGTAGGACTCTAAGCAATGACTCACCTTGGAAAGGAAGGAGAGCTGCAAATTTGTGTTATTTGGATTAGATGATGGAAAAGCAGTTAGCAAAAAAAGGTTTGTACTTTATCTTCAGTCATGGAGGAGTCTGTGGCATACTAGAAATTTACTGATAGTTGTTGTTCGGGAAGATTAAGGCTTATTACTTGGGACTATACAGAACAGCTCAAGAGGGATTCATTGTGAAGTGTGTCATTCCATTCTAGACTCAACTGTCCTTTTTTCATCTGCCAATTGCTCTTCTCCTAGTTGTTTATGGACCTTATTTACTCCTATCAGTGGTGGCAGAAATGGGATGATAATTGGGATCTTCAGCCTCCTGGATCTGTCCTCTATCTCCTAGACCTGCCTTGCAACCTCTAGTCCATGTTGCAGTGCTGGGTCATTGCCTTCTAGGCAAAGACCTTCTGCTCCTCCAGGTGTTATGCAGACAGGTCAGTCTGCTAAGGGCTTAGGAGGTACTCGTAACTTAGTGTCAGTTGAGTGCAAGCTGAATATTCCTGGAAAAGCAAGGCATAGCTACCTGCTTGTTCTATTGCAGGGCAACTTTGAATTGCTGCCAGGGTCCACTGAGCACCCCACTGGGGAAACCAATAAATGGTCTGAACTACCATGGATGAATAGTCTGTAGGAATTCATCCTGGTTTCACAGCCCTCATTTGTGTGATGCGCAAAGCTGGCAAAAGGCTAGGCTGGGTGAATATGACCTGTGGGCACAGCCATCCCTTTAGAATGAGGTTGTTGTTTGTTTGCTTGCTTGTTTTCAAAACTCAGGCTTCGAAGAGTGATTTTTCTGCATTGTGGATTTTGGAGTTTGAGAGGGAAAAGAGAATTGCTGAAGTAAAGCCAGAAAGAAATTGTTAAAAAAAATAATAATGATGACTGGCAACTCAGTTAATACATTTGAAACTCAAGGTGCAGCTACTGAAGCATTAGCTCAGGGGAAGAAATGGCATTCTGCACTGGAGTCTGGAGAATATAGGAAAATCTTAGAATGATCAGGATTTATGGATGCTTCATCTCCCACCTGCTGGCGCTGGGAGTAAGGACCCGCAAGTAAAAGTCTCCAAAGTAATTTTAAGAATTAGTGAAGTGAAGCTGCATTTTGTAAGAAAGAGTTTGGTTTGTGCCTTGAAGGCACCTGTAATTTCACTTTAAGAGGAGGTAGGTTAATCTCTTCCTTTTGCAGTTCTTGGCAACATGCCATTAATTCTAGTGACTCCAGCTTCAGCTACAGACTGTGGTTGCCACTGCATAAAATGAAGAAATGCACAGAGCTCATGGAGGGACGCTGGGAGGACACTTGTGTGATTAGTGCTTCTGACTGGGATTCCAGAGCCAAACTCTAGCTCTGCTACAAACCTCCCACCTGAACAAATCATTGAATTTGTCTTGCTTTCAATTCTCTGCTATCAAATGAGGGTGACAGCACTTCCTTTGGTTCAACCATTGCATGTCTTCTCCACATAGACTTGCTCTAGGGTTTTCTCTGGCTGAATGTGTATACAATACCCTGCTCATTGAGCCCCTGGGGCATTTGAGCACAGCTGTAATTAAATCGTAATTAAATTACTCCAGCGATGTAGTAATTTAATAACGACTTGGGCACTGCATGCAAATAGTAATGAAATTGTAAGTTACATAGTGTAAGCCCAGCTTGGACACATAATATTGGCGCTGCCTTCCAACTCAGGACAGTTTAGGCAGGATTTTCAAACATGCCAGTTATAGGGGCCTAATTCCAAAAATGTAGCTTTTCTGTCTTAAACAGTAGCCTGAATCTTCGAATGTTCTGCAGAGCTGGTGTGTCCTTTTGGCAGCAACAGTGAAGTCAGATGTCATAGGAGACAGTCTGAACAGGGGGCAACCCAGATGAGAGTCTTTTTGAAAGTTAATATTTGAAAATCACACCCCTGTGCACACAGTATAAATTAGGCATTGTGATACTGTTCATAAGCCTTCTTGAAAGCCACAAACTTGGCCAGTCTTCAAGGGAAACATGAACCAGCACCAAAGTGATATGTGTGACCATTATTCATCTTTACACCACTATTCAATCTCCTTTTGCTTTTACTAAGGCCTTGTGTGAATGTGGAGATGCACAAGCATAATTAAAACTGTGTTTAATAGCTGGATTAAACTGTGAGGAAAGCTTTATATAGCCTGTTACAACTTTGAATAGAAATTGCTCAGTCCCAGCTGCATGGGGCTCTTTTCTTCTGCTGCAACAGATCTTGTTCCAGAATTTCCACATTTTCCTCTTCCCTCTGATTCTGCTCATCAGATATTCCTGTCTTTCTTTATTGTAAGTCTGCTCTGACTTGACAAAATTCTGACTTGTTTTTCTGTCATCACTTCTCCACTTCATTGCTTTTTAGATTCAGATTTTGTGAAAGTAATTCTGATATTTAAAAAGCCCATAATTTGC